TATAACGATGTTTAGGTTATTCAGAGGAGCTAACATGGGGAGACATTAGAAAATTAAGTTTCTGAAACGCACACAGCGTAAGCTTCGAATTGAACCGATTTCTCAGTGGCTCTCTCAATGGCAGAGTAGAATTTCACCTTTTCCAAGTATGGTCACTATAAGTAATGTGTTTCCTTTATTGTTACTTAACATTATCATTGCCTAATACAAATACCCCAGTTTAACCTAATCTACCAAATGAAAAGTTTAATTACCAGCATAGCCCACAGTCAGTAGCATGGGCTTTTTATCCGAGGTTAAACGCAACGTCGGGCACATGCAAGCACTGGTCTAGATAGTAGACCTTGAATAGTACCCTTCCCAACGGTGATTTCCACAAATTTCGTACTGTGTAAACGCTTGTTTATAGCCCAACGCTGTTAGAGGATTCACAAGCGACAACGGCGACACGGAATAGTGAGAAACGAAAAGGGAAGGCCTTGTATTAGTTGTTGCTCTTTTCAAAAAGATTATCAGCTTTTTGCTGTTTAATTCTGCGTAGGGAGGTAATTTTTGCATAAACACAGTAAACGTTGTGTTATTTATGATACACTTTTACCTAAAAAAACCGATACATATATAGGCTGTGAGTAAATGGTGCCTTCATTTAGGCTGACTGGAGTGCTGATTACCAACTCACGAAAGGAGCAAAGTTGGTAGAGTAGCGTTGGCTCTTGACCAATACTCGGCATGGAGCCTCGTATTCATAGCTTTGCGTCTCAAGCGGGTTTGCATATGATTACAAAAGCCATGAAGCATAAACGCAGCCTCATAGCCGCGCAACCTCCTCAATGTGCTTCACTTCAACACATATGACTAAAGTAACAACTAATAACAAGCAACTGTGTGGTATGGTTCATTTGCAAAAAAAACTGCTACGGTATAGATATAATAGAGTTTAACAAGCCACTGATAGTTTCGTCTTGATTCATTGTTGGCAACAATCGATGTCGAACCAGGTCGGGTAGAATGGCAGGCTACCGCTGCGTTATATTCAAAGGCGGCATTAGTTATAGCTTTTGGCTATCATGGGGCTGAAATTTTCTAGCGACTCATTACTAGGGATGGATGACCGAAGTAAATGGTTTACTAGAAATGCTACGTGTGTTCAGCATGGAAAGGATCGCGCGTAGCAGGGACAGGATGGCTATTTTTAACATGCAGCACTATTTAAATAAGCACAATTTATGTATTTAACATACTGAAACATTTAAACTTAAAAAAAACGTTCTTGCCTTTAATCTCTGCGTATTTAAGCCATTATTGATTAATCGAATGCCACCATCATTGAATAGCAATAACTAAAGCCGATGACATAGCGTGTATCGTTCGAATCACGGCGGTGTGTATTCCCTTGATTCGTCGCACGGATTACGCGCTTTATATTGTACTAAATTCTCTACTGGGTACATCGCTTCATAATGTTTCTTCGTTTGCACAAACATCAACAGCTAGTAATCAGTCAGAGCTATTGAAGCTTTGGTAATCTGGCGCAGCTTGTGGTTTTACCCCCATTACCACCTACTGGTACATCTCAAAACGACCGCAACTAAATTCTTATATAACATCATTTCCAAATGACCGCCTATGAGTGACTTGCCTCCAGGCGTCGGGCTTTATGGAGCATGCTTTTTCCTGGAAGATCACATTGTGTCAGTATTCATTACATATTCCTGGATAAGCACTGTCCAAGTCGCTTGCGGTTCTATGAACCAATTAGAGCAGAATCACTTAAACTCTCTAAAATGGAAATGAAACAGTTTACGGAAAATAGACTCATCGTTTTCGCGGTAAGCACCAATCACATCAATATTGAGCCTACGCATGGGTTTTGCTTGAATGGACAACCTTTTCGGAGAAAAGTAATATCAGTTGTATGTCTCTAGTAGCAGCTGCTGCTGCTGTTCTCTCGTTGTGGAGGTAAAGTCAAGCCGGGTTGAGGTCGATACTACTCGGTTGGATTGGCCCTGAGTATAATACCGGTTTGAGCCGCTGACGTCATCGTCGTCGTTGTTGGCCAACATCGGATCATGTCAGTACATTCTCTATATCTTACTTACCCAAAAACCTATCGATGATAGGGTGCCATTTCTTGCCGTGGCCACTGTCGACGATGGAAGATGCGAAGTAACGTAGTGAGACTAGTTAACAATATAGACCCCGCTCATGGAATGGTTATTAATGTTGATTTAACCTAATTTAACCAAGGTGTTCACCTTAGGGTGTAAAGATTATAATGGTATCACAATTGCTCGCGAGTGCTCAAAGCACGGCAACAAAAAGTTCACACTTTTTGCGGTCAAAAAGGTAAGCTTCAACGTTTGTGTATATAGAATAGATTGCCTGGATAAATTCAGTGCAAAACTGTTTGACAGTGAAAATCATACATTTTATTATAAAGTTATTTAATTCGTTAAATGTATATAGGCTGCGTATTAGACTACGTATTGATCCGCTTGTCCGAGGATCTTCATTTCTATTGTACGGAATGTAAAGAGTAAACCTGAGCTGTTTTTTTTGTTATACGTGCATTGGTGGAGGGGGGGGGGCATTTCTTCAGGTTATACGGGTTCACAGCAGGTTATATGGGACATAGAAACGGCCGAAACGATCTTGGCCATTAAATAACTCCAACGAAAATGAGCTATTGTTGTTGTTTGTATAGTACCGTTACTGATGGCATCCATCCACGCGATCGCAGTAGTACACAAAACGTACCAAGATGCAGTTGACTAAAGGGGCGAAAACACCGAGAACAGCAAAACGTTTGTTATTAAACATGTCGCAAAAATACGACTCATCTTTTGCTTAGACTGTTTCATGTGTTATTCTTGAAGCGTTGCTACCTAAATAGCGTCATCACAACCAATACTAATTCATGTGTTCTGCCCTGGATCAAGTTGGTTGGTTTTTACTACTCCTGAGGTAAATTAGTTTTCTGTGTTTCTTGACGTATGTTAGTTTATGCACCGCAGCGTTCCCGGATTCTATCAGTCGTATTTAGCCCACGAAGAGATCCCGATACTTCACTTTTAACGCCGTTTTTTAATACGCTGTGTCAAAGGACCAACGTTCAACTATTTATATCTACTCACTGCTATTGAGCAAACGTTAGATACGATTCATTCACGCATTCAGTCACACATCCATTCAGTAAAATCACATACCAGTAAGTTGTTTACGACAATGGTTATCCTTTCTAATCATCTGTTTGTATAGATCTCGTAGCTATCTGGCGCTGTCGCTGTGGATGGCAACAGAAGTAGGCGTATAATACACGTCGTCAGTCCATATACAGCTCCATGAAAGGGGGACGGTTTGTAGATCGACGAAGCTTTTGGAAACCGTTTGAAATCTGCTCATTCACGCAGTCGAACGACGCGTTTCCTCTATTTATGAGCTGCATATTGCGTGAAATTGCAGCGGGTGAAAGGGTAGATGGAATTTAAACCACAAATTCGTGTCACAACCTCTACTGTGTATGAGAAATGTGAAAACGTCCACTGTTTGGACAATACCAGATTGACAAAAGCAGTCCGCGATAGCGCAGTAATTACGTATTTGCCTACTTTGTCATTCGAACCTAAGCATAGGTACAATTTGGATGTAGGGCTATAGAAAAGACTATGCGTTGAGCCCCTCCTGACGTGCTTCTTCCATATTGCTCCCAGTATTATCTTTCTTGAAGAGTATCAAGCAATACAAAGGCAGCTGTACTAAGGCCTTTAGTAGAAGGTGAGCCTGTGGACCAGATTCAAGATATAGCTCAAAACGCAATTTCTTTCCTTTTGGATGTGTAGAAATGTTTCTTGGTAAGAGTAAACAAAGTGTCAAAATCCAGCTTATAGTGGCTCACGGCAGGTGTCCGCTTATTCGCGCGTCATAGTTGTATTAAGGTGCTACATGGATTTCGGTGATAATTTGGACTACACTAATATTACGATGCATGCAATCGTAGCAATATTCGGGGACCCCAACATTTAGATATTTCATGTAAATAGTAACCACAGAATTTCTTTTTGTTCTTCGTGTTTGCGTATATATATATATATATATATATATATATATAAACGCTGTTGACATATATGGATACTGTTCAAAGTATTGATATAAACTATCAGTTTCACATTATTGTATTGCTGTGCATGGTAGTTCAACATGGGTTCTCAAAACATGCTTTTATTTTTGTAGCTGGATGACTGAATTAGCTGTCTAGCTTAGATCTGTCCAAGAGTGTGGTAACATGATGACGTTCTAAGACCTGAAATTACCCTGCGCCTAAAGTTACTGATTGACCCAATTAGAAGTTAGCTGCAATTAGAGTTAGCTATTTCATCCCAAACTAATTGTCGTTTTACGTTATTCCGGTCAAATTAGTAAGCCTGGCTCAGTTGTAACTAAGCTAGCATAAGTTCCGAATAGGTTTATTTCAATACTGTCTTGCTGCGAGGGAAAACAGTACATTAGCAATACTCGTTCAAACTTGAATCGCCTATGCTTTGATATCTTTTGAAATTTAATTGGAAAAATTTAGGCTATATGAGTTTTCGATAAACAGTATCTCAAAAGGGACATCAGAAGATATTAGGTTTTTTTGAGATTCGAGTTTCGATCGCTGGATTTAAGTTCACGGTACTAACCATTACACTACTGAAAATCGAACCCGCCTAGGGAGAAACAGGAAGCATTAGTTATAAGATACGTCTGCAAAAGGCTACTATGCTACTACTGGCTACTGCATCAGATATTCTGTTAAGCCTACTAGTATAAAAAAGCACATATTTCATTAGTGAAACAACTTAAATCGCGTTTATATATCCATGTTACTGAACATAATAGCTCAAAACCTATCATTTAGTTCATTCATTATCCAGTTTTTTGCTGTTACCATTCTTTTAAGGTAAGATATTCAAAACATTATCGTTGTTACACTCTAAGCAAAACTAATTAACCTCCTGTTAATGCACATATGCTTAGAGAGATGTCCTTCAAGTACATTGGCCGCGATCCGGTAGATAAATAAGAAGTGCATAGAAGCAGCTACTTTAAAACGAAAATAATTTTTGCCCCTATTTCTAAGTAAAAATCATTCCCACATGAGAATCATGGTTTTAATTCTTCTATCCTTTATTTTTGCCACCAACTTTGGCGGAGGAGGACTCTCGGGTATCAAATCGTACGCACGCATTTTATAAATTTTTCGATTATCCATTATTGAACATGAAGACGTGAATATTTACCATCGCCCGGTATTTTGCTTCTGGTGCTACTCGTGCCGACGTTGTCTTTATGATTGTAATATTATTACTCTAACTAAACCAATAACAGCGATCTAGCACTTCTATGAACCTGCTCTCCTGCTCCGTGCTTACGACTACGTTATTTCTGTCTATTCTTGCTGCTCCCGCCGCGGCTGCATTGGCTCATCTTGCAAGATGGCAGCCAACCTACGGAGGCCCATGTGGCCGGTGACGCCATCTGGCGGTGTCTCTTATAGACATAGCCCGTAAACGACACCAGCGGCAACCACAACAACAACAATAACGACAATACCACTCGCTGTATTAGCAGCAGCAGCAGCAGCAACAGCAGCCGTGGCGCCGGCGGCGCTAACATCCTTAGCGGCCGTAGCGCTGATGTGATCGTAAGCTGTCGCTGCTGTTATTACTTTTATACCGTTTCCGTAGTGCAGCAGAAAACAGAAGAAAAATAGAAAAGTACGAACGAACGTTCTCTGGGTACCGTCAACTTACTGAGACGCTCTACCACAAGAACTGTGTTTGTCTGTCTTGACGGCTAGCTCTGGTTCGACCGTAAGCGCTCGTGGCACCGCTGCCGCTTCTGCTGTTCAAGCTACTGGCTGTGGAACTCTCCTGGTGTAGTAGTCCACTGTATACGGAGTATCTGGTATCTGGGTTCTCGATGAACTTGATGAACTTACTATTTGATGTTTGGCCCGATGGTCCTTACTGGCGGCCTTCGCAGCATCCTTTTTACGTTGGACGCAGGGAGCGTCGATGATATCGATACTGGAGCCGTCTATAACAGAGGAAGTAGCAAATACTAATATACGATTTTGAAGTACATATATGTGCATACATAACGTTGTTTCGATTTGGGAGCTTTGCTCGTACTGGTGCTCGTGTAGTTAAATGGATGCTACTGCCTTGTAGCGGTCAAGGTGGTGTTTATTTGAGCTGGTGATCATGAGTATGATGCTAATACTTTTATTGCCGCCGAGCGTATAGCAACAAGAAGGAGGCTTGATCGAGGCCGGCCTAAAGAATTCTGATTAGTGGAAGTGGTGATTACTGTGGCGGCGCTGGTCAGATATAGTCAAGTAGAGCTGGTGGTACAGCTTACGAGCCTGGAACAACAGCAGAACGACGAAGCGTCGGTCTGGAAGGAATCTGACTCTCTGCTCACGAAACTCTAGAAAAAGAAAGGTGTCTGCCGTCGGAACAACGGCAGACGAAACGGACATCATTACTGATAGTGACTCGTTTCGCCTAGCGGTTAATAGTCACGGTGATGCTACCATTTGCAGTACAGTGAGAGAGACCGGTTTTGCTACGTTGACAGTACGAAACCAGCAGATCTTATTGAGCATATGCACTCGGTATTGTGCAACTGAAGTCCTCCGAATACTAGCACAGGGGAGGCAACGCGGTTATTTCTGGATAAGTGAATTCCTTTGTTGGGTTAGCGTGTCCAGTATTTAGTGTTTTCCTGTGCATGCTAGCTGACCGCTTGCCTCGTAGCCAATTACGTGAAAGTTACCTGATATATCGAAAGTGAGCGAACGAGACAGATAAGAAGTTACCAAGAGAAAGGCGATGGATAGATGTTGAAGAGATCAAACTCAAGATCGAACATCGTGTTTGTGAGCCCTATGGTGCTGTACAGCAAAAGGCAAGTTGAAAAAGCAAAAAAAAAGGTTACCAAAAAATATTGGGTCTCCGTTTTATGCCAGCGAAGTCGGTATCACTGCTATGACAGCAGCTGTGAACGCCAGCATTGCAGCAGCGATTGATGGAAACTGCAACTCCGCTGGCTGCTGACATCGTCAAACATACTGTCACAACTCCGTAGACAGACATCGGTTCATCTCGACGAGACTTTCTGAGCAAAAATCAACTATAATAGCTCGTAAGCATAGTCATAGCGAACTGACGGTTATTAAAAGGCTCTTGTGTGTTGAGTAATCAATGCGCCATCCTGTCCATGTGGAGGCATCGCCGAAAGTTCAACAGGCGACAGCATTAACGGCCGGAATGTACTGTTCTACTTGAGATTACACTATAAATCGACTGACGTTCTTTCGTAGCCGCTACATTTTATACCAGGATTACGGCTGCTGCAGCCATGTGTGATGAGTAAAAATATTTCGTTTCAGTGGGACTAGTGACCGGAGGCGACGTAAATCTTTGCTTGTTCCTTCTTTGTCGACGTGTCAACCTGTTATTTTGCATCTGTCACTTAAATTCGTTACCAAGAACGAACGTTTTGTTCAGTCACAGTTGAGGCATTTATCAGCATCCTTTTTCTAGCCATCATCATCATTGACAAAAAACGATATCACGATGGATCCATCGCCCTTTGGCAAACAACACCAGGAGACGGCACATCCGCTCTATGAGAACCTTGACTCCGGTATGGCCAACCTTTCGGTAGAGTCCGAATATGATGTAGCTTCTTGTGACTATGGAGTTTTATATGTAAACGGTGGACCACCAATTCCGCCGCGAAGACCCAACGCTTTCCGGTCGTCCACTCCCAATGGCAGCCTAAGTTCCGGATCTTTAAGACAGTCAGGTTCATCATCGGGCGGAGGCATACCAGATATTCCTGTGCTAGCAACACCCATCAAGTACGTTGTGTATAATGTTACTACTAGATAGTTCGCACGTTTGTAGGCGTATTCATGCATAACGTCATATACGGCATAATAGTGCGATGTAGTAATGAGAGTAATTGGATCACGACTATTGATGAAAAATACACTTCCGGAAAAAAGTGCCCAAGAATCCTATATATCGAAAAGCTGCGCTTGCACGTGCTTAGAAGCATATGTTTTCAAACTGGTTATTGTTCAAACGTATTTCGATAAATTGTGAGACTTTAAATATAGTGTTTCTTTTTTTGTTAAACTAGCCAGTTATTCGTTTGAAAGAACACTTATCTGTTTAATCTTGTTTCTCCAAGCGATTGATGTCTCATATTGTCAATAGCATTACAGCAATCAAAGAATGTTGCACGCAATAACAACAAATTGGTAGCAAAATTAAGCGTAATTTTGCACGAATCTATCATACAAATAGTGTCGCCTTCTTAGATTCACCTATTAGCAACTAAAAGCTACGATGCGTTACTCAGTTAGGAAACCCAGGATCTTAGTTCGCTCTCTCTCTCGCTCTCTCTCTCTCTCTCTCTCTCTCTCTCTCTCTCTCTCTCTATAGTGCAGATGGTTTTATCAAGTTAGGCTGCAGGCCAGCCGCATATTGAATCGTTATGAACAGTGTGGGTCCATTGACTGACATATTGAATGCCTGAATAGAGCGGAATGCTGCCCCGCAATGACGGTGTACTCTCGTTCTATCAGAATTAAGCTCCTCCTGGGCTTGACGCGTCGCTGACATCACAATAGCAATCTTTGATTTTCCTGAGCTCTCTATTCCCAACTAGGTATGTAGTATGAGCTAAGCAGTTTGTTCAGCTGGTTTATTTTGCAGACTGCAGCTTTAACCAGTAAAAGACTACTTAGTGGCGGCAGCGGTAGTGGTAATCAAAGCACATACAACGGCGTAAATAGTAATTACAGTTCAATCGGTGATAGTCGTACAGATCTAATATTGTGATGTATGATTCCTTGTATTTGCATGTACCGTTCTGGGAAAAGAGAGACAAACCGATGACTAAATGTTTCTTGTCTTCTTTGACTCCACTGATGCGGAAGCTAATTTGATTTTTTTTCTGCTATTTAACGTACAGAGTACACAAGTGTAGAAGTTCTGTTGAAAAGTTTCGAAGAAAAAATTCAGTCGAACTTAAAGAGGGTGATCCGTTTGTTTGAAACAAAAAATAAATTTCGCTATACACCCTTAAAATAGGCGACGCAATGTCAAACGGTTTGCTCAGTCATCCTATAGCATCGAAGAAAAAAATAATCATATTTGCCGAAGGGATCTGTATATAAATTGATGAAACTTGTATTATTAGTGTTCCGAGGGATCTTTGTATCTAGTGCATTGAAGGCATATACCTGAGTGACTAATGCCATACTGGATTCTAGGGCCTGTATTCATGAGAATCGCATATTTTGTCCTATAGGTGCATTCTAATGCTGCTTTAGGCCAAAAAAGCTATGGTTGTAAATAGGAATATTGTATCTTTACATACATTGCTGCCCTGCGGCTCCATTGTTTCCATCTCCAGCATATTGTAGGTAGGAGCGAAAACAGTGTCACAAGTAGGTCGAAGCGTGCTTAGAGTATCGAACGTGGTCCGCTCTAGAGAAGCTCTAGAAGACCTATTGAAATAAAAGAAAAGATCCAAGGAAGATAGTGAGACGATTTTGTTCTTGTATGGGACTCCAAAGTTGAGACACACAGAGGTGCTTGCGAGGTCAATGCTCATGGCGAGCAAATGCACCCCAATGGAAAGGCCGGACAAAACACGACAGACTAATTTGCGTTCGACTGGGAAGAATCCGAGCAGATTTGGGACTAATCGAACAACTAAACTAGTATAAAATGAATACTACTTTGGCCATAATATTTCAGTCACGGATATCCAATGGTCCCTATTTTGAAGTACATAAACTGGTATCCTTTACTTTTTCTGTAAGGCGAGTCGTCCCGCTGTGTTTTGGCCAATGTAAAGATCTGACTGTGAACATGCTTTTAGTTTAACAGTTCTCCCTAATTTAGTTCAATGCACATCTGCTTTCTTGTTTACATTTTTCTGTAGATTGAGCCAGTTCATTTTTGTAGCAAAGCGGAACATCTAGAGATTGCAGAGGCGGTTTAAATTTGAGATCCTCGTTTTGCATGTTTATCGTGAATTCACAATGCGAACAAGTTCGTAAGTAGCAACTGTATTACTTCTACCGGCCATCAGAGACTGAACGCACTCCTTGTCTCGTCAACTTCTCTAGGTACATTAAAAAAATGGGGCAAATCTCGATACCCAGAGCGCCTTCTCACCTGACATCGATTCACAATGGGATCAGAATTTTTGAGGAACGGAAAGCCTTGCCGGCAAAGCAAAGTTAATACTCAAGTGACACGCTGTTACGTAGAATGAGTACAAGCGAGATGAAATCTACCTTCAATTTAACAGGATTTGATAATATGTAGTGCATGTTTATTCAAGACGAACCATATCTCGGAAAATCTACAACGTTTTAGTAAACGTTGATATACAGTAATTATTAAATATTAATTATTATTAATATTTATCAGTATTATAGTAATTATTAAACAGTGCATGTCGGTGGTGAGGGGTCGGCTTTAAGTGGTTCGTGATTAAAAGCGACACGGCATTATTGTTTTTAGGAGAAAAAAATTCAAGGTCATATAAATGAAACAAGACCAAATATTTGGGTTTAAAAATTGGTATCCCAATTAGCAGTATTGATAGTTAGATACCAATTGGTATTGGTTCTTCGCACTGCTATCGGAACAACACGGATCTAGACTATTTAAATAAATCTATGGATATTTTAAAATTACATTTTTCCGATTATATATACCTATATATGGCCGCGAACAAAGCGGGTGGTTCAGTTGCGTCCAACTGTCTTTTCACTTGATAAAATTTACTTGGTGAGATAAAACACTTCACAATTCAAGACTGCTTTCAATACGATAACAATGGGACGATTGAGAACCCAAATCGAATGATTGTGTCAGTTTACGCTCAAGAGTCATCAGAACTGTTTGCGGACCTTCAAACTCAACGGCCATTAGTTCTACTAATTTGAAATGTAACATTTCATCTTTTCGGTCACTCTCTAATTTATTTTACGGAATATTGTAGTAATACTATGTTCTTTAGGTAGGTTGGAAAGATGGAAAAATACAGCGTGGAAGACTGGCAGCGTTTATAATGATGGGTGTATATGACCAAACACCTGCCTGTTTCAGTTTAATCGTCTTGTAGAAGAGGAAACAGGCCTTTGTTGACAATGTTTCCGAAATCTGTCGTTTATTCAATGCCGATTAAACAAGGACGTCCTTATATTAACGGACAGTATCCAGTAAGGCATTCTGATGTTCAAAAATATAGCCTTAACTGCGGGCTAACGAAGTGGCGTCTTTTTAAAATCATGTTTCATCGTAAGGTTTATGATTAAGTCCAAAATGTCGGCCCATACTGTAGGTAAAACAATAATACGAACTAGTTAAGTGAATAAAGAATAGAAGTGAGTGTTAATCTGCACTAAACAGGCCACTCGTCATCAAACTAGCCTTGGGACATTTCCTCTTACGAAAAAGTGTATTTTTAGCAGAACGTGTTTATTCAACACTACTTTTTTACCGTTATCTTTGAAAAGCTACTAATTTTTCTGTCTCGAACCGGCGTCTGCTTGACTGAGCATGATGCTTATGCAGAATTTGTCAATTTTTAAAATATTTATTGCTGTCTATTTTTATTTATATCTATTTCCATTTATTCTGCTTAACACTTAGATTTGTTTGTCTCTCTGCTTGTTGGACCTAAAACGACCCTCTAACGTTGTAGGGTTAGAGTGATTTTCCCTATGTAGCTAGACCTTTATCTCGAAAATATTTCCATGGAAGATGAAACCAATTAGCCAAACACCTTCTTTACTCAATAGAAAACTTCGCGTGTTCTATAGACCGTAATGCCAATTTGATTAATTGTAAGTCAACAGCTGAAATTTCTTTCTGATTTCTGATGTTTAAAAAAGACCATACCATTATGAGGGAATTCCCAGGTGCTCGCCAGCGTCGTCCGCGCTGAAACGTCATCAGTATAAAAATTGTATTGCGTCAACGGGCTCTTTCAATTTATGTACCTTAAAAATTATAAGTATAATTAGCCTTTTACTTCTGCACAATTAAAATGCGTTTAATAAGAAAATAGGCGCGAGGCAAAGCCAGTTGGTGCTGTCCTAGTTGGGACGCTTTATTATCGTAATCACATGACTGTCATACGGCCATTACTGTACATTTAATATTGCCTTTTGAACGAATTGGGGTAAAATTATGATTTTTAATATATGCTCTTTTTTGATATTTACAGACTTCACCCAGCCTTCCGCAACTTCTGGATAGCCATATATCTAGCATCCGTGTTCCATTATGCAAGTCCTCTATCTATGACATCTCGAAGTCGATTGATAGTGGTATATGCTTGTTCACGAGTTGCTTTTTTAAGATATGAAAACCCCAGTGATCGCATGGACTTAGGTTTATATCAACGTTGAATACCGCTTTCCCCGCTCCAGAAAGTAATTATGGCCGGTCACTTCCTCGTTGATCTTCAACACTCCCATCTGTGCTTGAAACGTTTGCACCATTCGCGTACCGTTTTTCTCCTTGTTTAATATTATCACCAATCTTTAATGAAATTTTGCAGCGCAAAGAACAAAGACTTGGCCACCGAATGTTGATTTTTGTGATTTAATTTTTTTTATTTTAAGAACCTACCTCTTCTGGAGTAAACTTAAGTAGTCTTTATTTACAAGTTTCTAGAAGATTAAAGTATCTACTAGTCAGATTTTGCCTACTAACGGCTCATGATTAAAAATACTTCAATATTGAAAACTCGGATACGGTTACAGCTTAATATATGTATATTCGCTACTTGTTCCTGAGAATCGACAAATTTGTTCCGTCTATTTACGACTTTTCTGTTGAAAATTCCGAAGTGCCACGTTTTATCATTTAATTTTAATGTGCTCCATTGTGTTTGCAATCGTGGATCACATCACCACCCTTCAAGCGAGGTGGCATCGGGCCAGCGACGAGTGGGTCGCTCAGAAACGCTTGCGACCATCGTGACAGATCATCACGAAAAGATGGCATCTACTTTCATCTCTGACCACCAATGAGCCAAACTGACGCATGCACAAGCCGTTCGTCGGACCCTGACTTATCACCTGTTCTTTGTTTTCTTTTCACTTCGCGCAATCAGTAACAAATATAAAAAGGCATTAAGCGGTGGTGTGTTAGTGTTACCTCCGATAACGTTCCGAGTTCGCTTGTGTCATATCATCCAGTAGTAGTCGGAGCGTTTTCATGATGGCGTATGACTTAACCGAACATGACGATAAGGAAATTAGTGATAACGGGATTGTTGCTGATAAGAGACTCTTACCAGTCACCGCAAATGTCAACACCTACGTCAAAGGCGGAATGCTCTAGTCAGTCGGATCGCGGGCGTTACCAAGTCGCGTATAGACATTACGACGTTAGCCGCTGCGAAGGTGAAACTGTTTAATTGTTCTGTTCAGTGGTAGCCCACTATGCTACAACGGAATTCGTGTTGTCAAATATAAACAGAAAGGAACACAAAAGACAGAAAGACCCCTCGCGTTAACGATGCGGTCGCTTGTTTAGGCATTGGTTAAAAAAGACATAGTAGGTGATGATGTTATCTGTGAATAGATTTTCTGACAAACATGCACATTGGCATGCAAAATGTCATTGCTGCCATTGCCTCTGCTTGTGGTAGCCGTGGGTGCTACTTTAAGTGTTTTGTCAGATACGGGGCCCTTGTATTTGCTGGTGATGACGTTTAGCGGTGCAGAGGGGATAGCTTCCATAAAGATAAGCTTGTGGTAGCGCTGCGCTTTTGCATCGTATTTAGCGTGTTCATTACCCGTGTTACGGCGATGTTCAGATGCGTTATATACTAAAGAAATAATACTAAATTCGGGTAGGTGACAAAAAATAACATTATGGAAAAAACATTGTGGGAACTAAGATAGTGACTAACATTAAGCACATAAGGTTATTAAGAAATAACACCTCGTGTTCGATGGACCGCCGTTCTTTCGCATGAGCGGCTATCGCGCTAAATTTGTCATTTTAGTTGACCGACCTATAATCGTGCTGTTAGTTACTTATAGTTATGTAATCTCTTTTTTTTTTTTTTATCATGTAATGCTGTGAAACAGTGCATGATTAAAATATTCCGTTTTTTCTGGTGTCTGATCGTGAAGTTCATCCAATAATCAATAGATTATTGACGAATACGATGAGTGTAAACTGTGTAAGTCCAGGCAGCACCATGTGAGACCTAATAAATCTAGTATAGAGCAGCTATGAAAAACGACGAAACACCGTGACGCTTGATTAGGTCGAAGAGTCCAGCCGTATGTCTATAAAACAGATCGTTTGACGAGTGCAAACATGCTCGTCAGATAAAAACGAAAGTTACGTCGGTGCATAGTTGATGCATGTGTCAAGCATAGGAACTTAGCAAGCCTTTAACTATTTTAATATGATTATCGTTTACACAGCTGGGAACTAGAGGCATTATGACCATTCGGATCCACCTAGGACATCCGTTAACTACAGCGAACGTACCAAGCTTCCTTATTAGTGCGGTCATTGCCATTATCGACGACATCGTTGTTATTATAGTCTATTAGTTCGGAGCGTGTGAGTCTGTATACATCGCCAAATGATACCGAGTACTGCGCGGAGTAATTAACATTCTAATAATCAACTAACAACTACTTATTTAAATCCTGTAGGTGGAAGCATTTGTTCGATAGCTGCAGCCTATTGACCCATAGTCATCTGATGTTTATCCCAACCACCGCAATACTAGAACATGGACCGTGCTTGCGCTTGAAGCATCAACAACAACAACAACACAAATAGTGATGGTACTACTACAGTGCTTAGAATCGTACATGTACACAATAACTGGGTCGACATTGACAACGTTTCGCTGAGCAGGTCGTTGATCTTCGGGCAGTTACCGTGTGCGTGTGAGCAAATATGAGCCATTTGGTTGCCTTTAACAGCAACTCTTTAAAGGAACTTGTCTATACGAGAGTCGCATTAAACAACAGCAACAGAGATGCAGGTGTTGCATCAATGAATTCAGCTGTGGGCTAGCCTATGTACGGGTGGACACAACGCAATTTGTGTGTGTATGTGTCGCTTGGGAGTGTCTGTATAAACAAAAAATAACCAACGAATTGTTTGCTGTTAGCGTCAGTTCTGTATAATAATTGAGAAAATGATTTCTTTTCCCGTTCGGATTTGTGCGAGATCAAGTTTCTGATGATAGCAGGCCAAAATTAGCCAAGGCCTATTTGATATACAGCGTTAGTAAATATTAGCTGGGCTATACGGTATACCGCATGATGTCGTTGACCGAAATCGTGGTAAGGATTCTAACAAAAATAATATTTGACGAGAATACTAGCAGTACTTGATACTTTACTCGTTTCTAGAATGTATCACAAATGTTTGCTAATATGGTACCTGCAAAGGCACATTTCCTGTAGCCATTCGTTGCGGCTCTGTGAATGATTGCACAAAGGGAATGCCTTAAAATACGCCTAGAGATATTTTTTGTAGTAGTCGTAGTATGATAATGGTCCTTATCATATTGTTCTGTCGTCGATTTTAGTCTGTAACGATGCTCAAAAGGCGAAGTGTTACGTTATTCTCAGTACTGGGATTGTGATGATGTTCAACAAAATCGAATCTGGTTGAAAAACGATAGACAAAGGTAAACATTTTATCTAAAACAACACGTAGGGCTATTGTGACCTATAATTTAGACCATTGCCCGTTATAAATCTCTACTTGTTTCCTTTTTTAACTTATCCAGTTTACTTACACATGTGATATTTAGAAATTACAATTTTCAAACCTCTTTAGTAAGTATAAATTTCACACTGTAGCCACAAACGCTCTTTTAATAAAATGGCTGGCAGGATATAATTTAGTTCCAAGCCAAAGTCTGTATCAGATCGACTCTTGATCAGTGTTTGAAATTAGGAATTTCGGAAATGCAGTTCTATTTTATTCAAATGACTAGTTATATTCTATTAATATATCTCACTTGGCAAACAGTCGAGCATACTTATAATTCTGTACTTCTCTACCGACACTATACTGCAGTCATTATTTGAATTGTGTTCTTAGTTGACCTTTTCTGTCCATAAGAATCTTATCTCCTTCTATATTAGACCGTTGTTGAAAATGCATGTAAACATTAACCAAACGATAGCTTCGTGTTTTAGGTTCAACACTGAAGGTTTCATATCGATGATTCCTCTAATCTGAAGCTGACGGGTGTCAAGACACGTTCTGTCTTTGAGAAAAAGAAGGAATAAATAAGCACGATTTTGTTTATTGACAACTACTAAAGATATCCATCCTAGTAGAGATCAAGTGCGAATGGACTGTTATTCATATTTGTTCTATGCGAACAAAGTGCTAATGTTCGTCGTACGACCAGTCTGCTAAAACCCTTGTTGCTAAAATCCCTAAAAACCTGTGTTGGTGTCCCACTCCTGAGAAGTCGCTTTTTCCTGAGCTTGCTGCGCTGGTAGCTTTGGTGGGGATTTGCCAGCCGTCTTTTGACTCATGCGGGGGCGTTTTTCTGCTCTGATCGAATGAAGTGGGAGTCTTTGACAAATAAACAGGTTAGGAGATTGATTGTCTGGTGAACATCTATACAGCTGTACGTCAGAGTCATTCCCGATTGCTGTAGAACCCTAGTGCATATTTTGAGTAAACAATGAATATGAGTTTTGCCGTTTTGTAACAGAATGAAAAAACAGTCAGATGCTTGTAATATATGCAGTTTTTATTGACCAAATGCTGTTACTGGCGATGGTCTAGGTTATACGTTTTTAGAATAATCAAAGGCAACATCACTGTAAAATTTCCCTTACGATGCATTTGTCGGAATACCCGCTGGAACGCGGTTATTATTCAAGTATCTCAGGTGGTTTCTTACAGTCGTCGTTTAAGTTTGCAACTAGTAATTCACGATTACTGTGAGCTTAATAAACTTTTTATAACCCATTGATCAATCTGTCCTAGGCTGAAACACGGTACACTTTTCCGGTGAGATTCAGTGCTGTGAGGTATGCTATGTAATAAAAACTTATAGGCAAAAGAATAAAAGAACTTGATCAAACGAAATAAGGCGCCCAATAAATGCAGTAATTATTTGGTGAACCTACCCACGTGATCTTACATCCGTATGTGTCTGTGATAATCGAGATCTAGCTCACTTGTGACTGACGACTTATTCTTAGCATAAGGTGTGATTAAGTATTGGCGGTATATCTTACGCCCTGAACATTGCCTAACTAGCAAAAAAAAAGACAATGAGTCGTTCAGTTCTCTGCGATCTATAGTGATCGTCCTGCTCGCTCCGCTTGACAGGGTGTTAAAGGCGGCTTTCATAATATTAACTATCCTTTTACAAAGCGAATAATCATGTACTTATCGAAATAGCATCAAATTAAAGATTCTTTTCAAGTGTACCAAGGTGAATGTATGAGTTTTTTAAATACTCCGGTTATATAACCCGTTCACAGTTGGCGTGCAATCTGCAAATATCGCGCTCTTTTCTCACAACTATTATTCAACGGAATTATTTTTAGGCACCGTATTTCAGAACCCATTGTCTTATTATACAGTGCAGAAATTTCGGTGAATAAAAGCCAGAGATAAGTAATATTTTTTTTACTGTTCCTTTATCTGTCTCTTATAGTGATCCAGCAAACTCAATCGTTATGTCGCTTTCCTCCATGTTATGCCATCGCTGTGGGGAAGGCTTCGAGCCGCACGAAAAAATCGTCAACTCGCACAGGGAGACCTGGCATCAGACGTGCTTCGTCTGCTCGCACTGTTTTCGGCCGTTCCCTGACGGCGTTTTCTATGAGGTAAGCTTCGCCGTTTTGTGCTTCGCTTTTTGCGGTTATAACTACTGTATCGTCATTTTCCGTATGCTATTATGGCTGAATATAAATAGTATATATGTACGTACATATTTTAAGACTTTTGACGGCACTGAAGATCCAATTTCGATGTTGCTCTTTTTTTTATCGGAAGCCAAAGCGACCTCCGCGACGTATTCAGTAGCTGAGTTGACTGAGGTAACTAACAGTTGTTTAGAATAGAAATTAACTTTCTCATTTCTGAGTGCCGCCGCAGTTCGAGGGCCGAAAATACTGTGAACACGATTTCCACGTGTTGTATGCGCCGTCCTGTGGAAAATGCAACGAATTCATCATCGGTCGGGTGATCAAAGCTATGAACAAAAGCTGGCATCCGGCTTGCTTTTGTTGCGAAATCTGCAGTAGCTGCCTTGCTGATAGTGGCTTTATCAAGAACGCAAACCGGGCACTCTGTCATGAATGCAATGCTCGGGAAAAGGCGGCCGCTATCGGAAAGCATATCTGCTACAAATGCCAGTAAGGACAATTCAGTATTTACAAATTTATCTATGTGGATACTATTTAGGGTTAAATCATTTTTAAAATACGTATAGTGTATTTCCAATATAACGTGTATAGCTGAGTGTAATGATATATTCATGTACAAAGGTACAACAAGTAACCATCCGTATGAGTATCCTTTTTTCATTATCTATTAATGTGAGTGTACCCGTCGATGGCCTGTTTTAGTGGAATTATCGACGACAAGCCATTGAAGTGGCGCAACGAACCTTACCACGCATACCATTTCAACTGTACGACCTGCAGCGTTGAGTTGACATCTGAAGCGCGCGAGGTTAAGGGCGACCTGTATTGCCTCCGATGCCATGATAAGATGGGCATTCCAATTTGTGGAGCCTGCCGTAGGCCCATCGAGGAGCGGGTTGTAACGGCGCTGGGAAAACACTGGCATGTAGAGGTATGACAAACGCATGTGGAATAATAGAGGCTCAATTGCGCCTTTGGCTGATTACCGATCATGTCACGTGGCTGCCAATACGTTTTCTATAGGTTATGTTTAATAATTTCGGTCTGTAAGTGTACAATTAAAGTTTTCTAAAGCTGAATGTACGCCTCAAGACTTGGTCACATTCTGCCAATAATGTAACCTTCTGCCGTTTATATTCCTGGTTTTCGAAAATTTCCAGCATTTCGTTTGCGCTAAATGCGAGAAGCCATTCATGGGCCATAAACACTACGAAAAAAAGGGCTTGGCTTACTGCGAGACACACTATCATCAGCTGTTCGGAAATCTCTGCTACACTTGCAACAAGGTAAATGCATCGCTTCCAACGCAGCTTCCATTAACGTGATGCCCAATTGAGAGTTAATTGTGGCTATTTTTAAGAGTTAAGGTGCGTTGCATAAAACTAGTGACTTCTGAGCCTGATGAGCATTCTCCTATACCTGCCATACAGTCATTACAATCCGTACCGACATTAAAATTTAATGATCTTTTCAGTAGGTCTATTCAGGTTCAAGCTAGTCAAAAATATCTTCTAATGTTGCCATCACTATTGTTATAAGCGTAGGAGTTGCAATTCGATCTTCTGCCCAGTAACAGGGACAAATACAATGGGCCACATCTCGTACAATACAAACGATACAAATGGTGAGATAAGCTGAAAAGAATAAAGTATATGGAATTGGTGATGATGATGATAGCGGGATGCGTAGAAGTGGGCCTGTAATCATGATACGTTTCGTTACAGGTGATCGAAGGTGATGTATTTACTGCATTAAACAAGGCATGGTGTGCCAATCACTTCACATGCTCTTTGTGCAACGAAAAGATGAATCAAAAGTAAGGGCCTGCGCAATCCATTGCCATCACTTACCTTATCCATATGGCCATAGCTTTGTGGATGGGAGACTATATATATATATATATATATTAATGAGAAAATTTATTATTTATGCCAATAAAGTTCCTATAGACTAATAAACAACATAGCAAATAATATGCTTTGTATCTCTCTTAGAAATTGATTTAGTGAATAATTGCTTGTATCTTGTATGGTTACAAAATTGTATGAGGTAAAGCTTTTAGAGTTAGACTTGCATACATTCGCCTGATATATATGAAGACAAATTCCAATCGATAAACTGGTGATAGACTCTTTGCGTTCTACTTTTGCTAATGATTGTGCATTTGGCTGTGTTCTTGTTATTCTTTTCTCTACATGCGTTCATTAGGACCAAGTTCTACGAGCTGGACTTGAAACCCGTGTGCAAACGATGTTACGAAAAATACCCCTCAGAGCTTCGTAAGAGAATACAGAAACTGCACAAAATTCCGCCCAAAAAACAGCAGACCACGTAGACGGACAAACCGGTGAAGTTTTCATCAAGCAGCGCTAACCTATTCGCTGTGCTTGTAACCCGCAGGAGGTTTTCTGGTCATCTTTTTGTATATGCCCAGAAAAATTCTGCACAGTTCTACACCAATGATCCACCACGAATGACGACATCTAGTTGTTTAGGAATGTATAGACAGGCGATAAGAAACCGAAATGGGGACGATAGGTATGCGCGTACGAAACAATACATTTACTCAAACAAGAACATGATTACAAAAACGTTCAAAATTAACAGTTCGTATCAAACGCGACCTTTGGAAAAGTTTACTTAAAAAACCGAGAATGCGACAATAGCGAAAATCACGCCTTTATGCATACGCCTAGCAGCTTAAAATAGACGCACTTGCATGTATTTGATCCTTACAACGTTTATGGGTGAAGTTACTTCGTGAAAGGCTATCCAAAAGCTGGCGTGGCATGTACCCAATTGTCAAATCCACGGCTTTGTACGCATTAAGTCCCCCATCGGTGTCTGTGTGTGGGTGCTAAGAAGACAAAGCTAAGCTTTATGCCTTTGACCTCGACCATTGGTTAGATGGCCAGGCCGAGTAAATTAAAACCAACTTTAACTGTAAATAACATTGATCTATTAATATCGTTATATAAATGTATTAACAAGCAAATCTGAAGGCGCAAGGAGACATCTGCGTTTAATTCGTTCGTCCAAAAACGTGTAATTCACGTGACCCGTAGCATATATACATTTACGTTTTCTATGAACGCTATTTTTTATTGGGCAGCGATTACCATGGCGGCTATTATACAGTGGACTTTCATTTTGTTATGAGAGTGTGCTTCTGACAGAAATGCGCAAGGTGCTAGTACATTACCTTAAGTAGCCTTAAAATTTTGCTAATGGGCAGCTATCGGACCCGAACTAGCGAAGAAAAAATGAAAATCGTAATTATATGCGCGAGTTGTTCATTCTGCCATTGCAGACGACTTCAATCAGTACCTACATTATATTTACGCGCCCATTTTCAATGACATGATGAAATAGAGATTACAAAATATAGGCATTTATATATGGTAATAGTATCTTTGTATGTGGGCTTTTTTGCCGGCTAACTGGTGGCGAAAAACTCGATGATGCTCGCATTTCCTGTATGTCCGATTGTTTGTGACCTTGATTAATTCGATTGAATTTTAGGAAAAAGCTCCGGAGATGATTTTTTGGAATCTTTTTTCAAAGCAGTTTAAAGCGATATTACGTACGTATATTCACAAAGAAATTTTTTTGTGTAACATGTATATCTTAATTCGAAATGAATACGACAACGTAGAGATATGCTATGTCTTGAATCCAGTGCATTTAGGTCACCGTTTGTGTTAGCAATAGGATTTGATACGAAAGTAGTATTTGTGAATCTGACGGCGACAATTCATTTCATACCGTACTACCTCTCCTAACTGTAGCATTAATACAAACTTAATTAACACATACCGCTGTTATCTTATGTCTAGCGTCTAATATATGCGTCTGCATTTAGATCCATGTGAATCCATACAACTTTATATAACTTTAAACTATATAGATCCTTCATTCTATGACCGCTGTTTTTTCTTGTTCACGGAGTTGTGGCCGGACTATAGCAGGACGTGCCAGTCCCGTAATGCCCGCATTGTACGTATAGCAAGTATAC